TGTTGATTTTGGGAGAATATTTAATTCTCATTAGAGACATTCGAGCGAATATAATTCAAATCCTTTTCAGAAGGGATCTCTTAGAAAGCGTCCTTATTCCCATATAGAACATCGGGAAGAATTTGAGGATGGCATGTCTAGTGATGCCATAGAAGGAGAGCCAATATATTTAGAAGACAATCCTATCTTCTCCCCTTATATGCCCACATTAGATGTTTTATCTGAACCCATCCTTGACCCTAATGATCCATCTTATGCTCTTTCTCCTCAGTCTCATGATGACCCTAGAAATCCACTAAGACAACCAAAGCAAAGGAATCATGAAGGCCACAAGGAAGACCAGAAAGAGCAACAACAATGGGTGGAGGATATTAAGAACCTATGTGCCATTTTCATGGAATGGATGGACCAGGCTTTAGATGAGATAAACCCGAGAGTCACCAATACAAGAAAAATCTTGGACAATAAAACATCCAATGATTGTCATAGGCATGGAATAATGAAGATAATGTTTTCGCCTATAGACATTCATGAAGAAACACCCTTGGAGATTGACAAGGAAGATGATGTTGGCATTTCTTAGCGACATTACTAGGAATGGAGTTCATCTCCGGCAACGGCGCCAAAAATGCTTGTTGACGATTCTTAATGCAGGTACCAAGTGAGAAGGTTTTGACTTCATCACTAGCATCGGCGCTAGAAATACCTAATCGGCATTCTTTCCCACCATTACTAAGGCTAGGTTAACCTTAATATCGCCATTAAGAACCGACCGACTAGTATCCTAAGTACCTTTACTCATGAATGTAATTCCCTCACAAATAAGGCGCCCGACAAGGGTTTTACAATTCAAAGTAATGACACTTAGAGATGCCAGGTTGGCATTCCTAACCACCACTACTCAGGAGTTGCAATCCCTCAGCCCTGGTGCCGTATCCGACATGTTGGGAATTACAATCACTGGGTAATGGTAATTAGGAAAGCCAATGTGATAGTTCTACTGATACAGACAATAAATCCGCAAGCGTGCGGAACTATCATTGCAGTATTTCAACCTGGAAGTATTCAGGGTGTCGTATTTATATTTCACCAAAGAGGGCATGTTATACCAAGTATCTATCTATGACATGAATCTTGACTCCATACTTGCATAATAGACTATAGATCATGGTAGGCGTAAAACTGATATAACAAGGATAGTGGTCACACATCTGAGCTACCTCTAAGGATAAAAAGAAAACTAAATGAATAAAAGAATAATCCTAAGTAGAGCTTTGGCATTCTAATATAGCCAATGCAATGAACAGTTGAATAACCATACAACCTATACGACTAGAATTAGAACTGAGTTTGGGGTGATGGGGAGATCATAACACATAAACTATATACTAGTTCATATATCACGAATATAACATGATCATGACTATACTCTAGTTCATATGCATAACTATATAATAAGTATGAGAGCATGAACTTGGAAGAACTCTTTATAGAAGATATCATACCGAGGAGTACTTCTTCCAAGGAGACAAGCTCTCCTTGATAGCCTTGCCTTGCTCAAATCTACCCTAAAACTATAAAAACACTAAGACTAGGTAGAGAGGTGGACCTTCAAATGTGTGATGTTTTGAGGGTGTGCTCTAGGCCTTCTTTTATGGCAACATATCAGGGCAAACCAACCAACCTGTGCAAACTTGGAAATTACCAATTAGGACCACTAGATGATGATCCAATGGATGGGGTGATGGGGCTTAAGCGCAAAAAAAAGGCCGGCGGGTGGGGGCTTAAGCGCAAAAAAAATCCCACCTCTCACCCCATCCATTGGATTAGCATCTAGTGGTCCTGATTGGTAGTTTTCAAGTTTGCACAGATTGGTTGGTTTGCACCTGATACATTGCCTTCTTTTATAGCCCTTGGAGGTCGGTTTCGTCCTGATAAAATAGGAAACCCATCAAAACCGCCTCTGCATGCCGCCATGTGAAGGTCGATCGAAGGGGGGCCAGGGGAGACGAATCTGGGGTGCACCAGCACCCTAGGTGGCCCCACCCTCGACCACCTTTGCATGATCAATTCTCTGGTGGGCCCTGTCTCTCCTATGTCGGTATTCTGCCCAGATTTGAAATTTTAATGGGCTTTTGCTTTGTTTCTTGCTTTTGCGCCTTTTCTAGAATACTCATTCGGCTTGGCGCTTTCTCCTCTATTTTTAGTCTTTTTCACTTGTTTTCGTGTTTGTACCTGTGAAACATGAATCTTCCGAAAAACAAGTGGAACAAGGTCAAAGTACATGCATATGTGCAATAAGTTTGCTTATTTCTCCTGTTCTGGACTTAATTTGGCGGTTCTAGATGTGCAATAGTGACCGCCAGCAGATAACATTAGTGAACATGGAAGTTATTTGATGAACACCTCATCAAATCCATGTTCACATGAGAGATCTTTCTGAATCAATCGGTCTCTCTAATTTTACCACACACGAGATATTCAACCCCCTTATACTTCATGTTTATATAAACTTTGAAAGGGTGGTTGTAGATGCATATGTTTATCATAAATATTGTACATCTCGTTGTGTGAATCCTAGATAGAAACCCAAAGGTTGGTGTTGGGGGGAAAATCACTTCACCAACTTGATCACAATTCGAATGTTTTCCAAGGACAAGCTTCTATCCTAAAACAAGCATTTTCAAGAGATAACATAAGCTTTTACCTTTTTGCTATGATACCCTGGTGAAATGAGTGTAGAAATAAAATTGTGAAAATTTCTTCGGGTATTTTTGTCACTAACCATTCTAGGTCTGTAGCAAAACGGATGAAGAATGATGACTCAAGGTATGTCCAACCAATCACCATGCAACATTTAATCACATCCATCTAAACTTGATTTTACCTTGCAAAATTCAAGCATGGGGGATGGACTTCTCTGAAAAATCCTATACCATGTTACTAATTCATCTTGGTTGTCTCTTAACTTTAAGCCATACTCAATTTGCTAAATAAACAACCATGCTCTTTCATCTCCAATTTAATAAATCTTTATAATACTTTCATGCCACCTTTATTTGCTATAGTATGCTTAAGGTTTGGAGTATGTTCATACATCTTTTAAATTAAGCATGGAGCTTGATTTAGGGATACTGATCAAACTTTCAAAGGCTTTTAAATTAAGCATAGTGCTTAGGTTAAAATATCTTAGTCACACCTGGTTTCAAAAACAAAACCAGATTTATCATATGTGTGTACAGAAAGTCCACACATACGCTAGCAAAACCTTGGCTGGACCTCAGCTCAACTATGCTACCACTGAAAAAGAGTTGTTGGCTGTTGTCTTTGCTATAGACAAGTTTAAATCTTACTTAGTGAGGATAGAGGTAATTATTTATACAGATCATGCTGCTCTCAAATACCTCCTCACTAAGAAAGATGCTAAGCCTCAGCTAATTCGATGGATTCTTCTACTCTAAGAGTTTGACATAGAAATTAGAGATAAGAAAGGAGTAGAGAACTCGGTAGCTGACCATTTGTCTAAGCTTCAATACAAGTAAACACATGAGTTACCCATCAATGACTACCTAAGGGATGAGACCCTACTCAAGATAACATACTCTGATCCATGTTATGCAAACATCATGAATTTTATACTGACAGGCTATGTCCCGCCTAGTGAGAACAAAGGAAAGTTGATCCATGAGAGTCGTTTTCACCTTTGGGATGAGCCATACCTATACCGAGTTTGCAGTGATGAATTGTTGAGAAGGTGTCCCTATGGTTGAGGCTACTAAGATTATAGAGAGATGTCATGCCTCACCATATGGAGGACACTATGGAACATTCCGGACACATGCCAAGATTTGGCAAAGTGGTTTTTTGGCCAACGATGTATGAAGATACAATGAAGTTTGTTAGGAGATGCCACTGATGTCAAAAACAAGGGAACATTAACTCATGAGCTGCGATGCCTCTCATGAATAATCTCCAAGTAGAACTATTTGATGTGTGGGGGATTGATTTCATGGGGCCTTTCCCTAAGTCCGGGAACTGTGAATAAATTATGGTGGCCGTAGACTATGTATCTAAATGGGTAGAAGCACTGCCATGTCAAACTGCCGATTCAAAACATGCCAAGAGAATGTTCCATGAAGTCATATTTCCTCGCTTTGGTACGCCCCGGATGGTCATAAGCGATGGAGGATCCCATTTCATAGATAAAGTCTTTCGAAAGTACCTAACGGAACATGGAGTTCGTCATAACATCGCAACGCCATACCATCCCCAAACTAATGGTCAGGCAGAAACATCTCTCACAACTAAAAAGACTAAAGAGTGGACATCGTTTTGGTGCGACATTCTAATGTGGGACCATGGTTCTGCCTCATGCGAACCAGCGTCCGTCGCTCTTACCGCGTCCCTTACGCTCTTACCGCGTCCCTTGCGACATGATTAAAAGGAAGGAAATCCTATCCTACAACTAAAAAGAATAAAACTAAGACAAACTTTTTGGTGCGATATTTGTTTTGGGGGCGTCGCTCTGCCCCGACCCTGCGAGCCCCGCCTCACGATCGCTCCCCCGATATTTCCTTTCCCTTCGGATACCACTTTTCACGGTCCCAATAGAAAACTTCTTGATAAAATGCCATCCGGCAAAAAACAACAATCAATTGGATCAGCCACAGGCCCTCAATCACAGGGATTTAATGGACAGTATTGCGTTGCATGCAAGGAAAGCCGAGGCCAACAAGGGAAGCTCACAGCCTTATTCCTTTGTTTACGCAACAGATGAATCACAAACGCAATCACAAACGTCGTCGGAAAAACAGCCGGCGCCATTCTCATCGCTGCACGGAGGCGACCGTCGCACCACACAGACACAGAGTCATTCAACGGAGGCCTCCTGGGGGCTATGATGGACAGGGTGGGAGGCGGTGTGGCAGAAGGTCGTCGAGGCGTGTTACCACCGTCCACGACCACCATCCTTCCCTCAGCGCCAGGAAACAGCCACGTAATCATCGTCGTGTCGAGGAGTCGTGACGGCCTATCCGTGACCCCGTGCAACATTGCCGGTCCACGCCGCCTGTCATGATCACCGTGGGCGTGAAGCCTTTTGCGATCGCCGTCCACAACCACGACCAGTACCGTCCCGCTCCCAGCCCGTCGCGACATCGCCCAGGACACGCCCCGCGGTGTGGAGGCTTCGTTTCCATGCTCCACGACGAACCACGTCCGGCGTCGAGTCTTCCCTTCCGTGCTCCTCGACTGTCACGCAATCTCACCCTGACACACAAGATCGTCAGGATCCAGGTATGGCTGTTTCTGTTGCCGTGTGTTGCATTGTTGTGCCAAGTCAATTTGTCATGACCCCATTGCCGTGTAGCATCTGCATAGGCATGTTGGCATTGTTCATCAGTTAGTAAAGGGGCAGACCCAGTGCCGGAGGCTCCCACATGAGTGGGGTCTGGGGAAGGGAAAAAATTGTTCATCAGTTAGTACTTTAAAAATTTTCTTTTGTACCACATCGATGAGGCCTTGAGAACATACAGAGCCAGAGAGCCTCATCGCCCTGAATTATGTTTACCCTAAAAGGTCTAAAAGCAGAAGACAGAAGGACGAGGAAGGCCTGAACAGCAGCACCAATCGACATGGTGGGCCTTATGTTAGTGAACTGAGCATTTTGTCAAGTGAGCATGTTTCTGATTTATTTCTTCCTGTTTCTCACCTAAAGCTTAGTTATTTTTATTAACTTCTGATAAATACAGGAATCAAAAGTGGAAATTACTGAAGATAGGTAAATCCAAAACCATAATTTTTATTGTATGTGAAATCATTATGGATGTTATTTTTATTAACTGCAGATAGATACTCAGGAATCAAAAGTGGAAATTACTCAAGACAGGTAAATCCAAAACCATGATTTTTATTGTATGTGAAATCATTATGGATGTTATTTTTATTAACTGTAGATAGATACTCAGGAATCAAAAGTGGAAATTACTGCAGACAGGTAAACCCTAATAAACTATGATTTTTATTGTATGGGAAATCACTATGGATGAACTAAGAAAAAAAGGATTCTATGCATATACCAGTTCATTATCACTATTGAAAATTAGCTAGACTTAATGCATTGCTTCTGGGCTGTTAACTATAAGGGGGATTAATGTTTCATCATCTGTTCGAGTATCATATTTAAGTTTCATTATAATCCGCGTGGTTCAAAACCTTAACATAACCTGGTGAAACAATTTGCACTTACTTTAGAATCACATTGCAGTTATCTACAAATACCAGCAGACTCTTCATATTCAATTGCCCATTTTGTAAAAGATACACCTACAACGTTGAACAATGAGGAATTTTTTTTTATAGTCACCATGTTCATGGTATACAACTTTAGTGTTAACAATACATACCAGCTTACTGCAGCCCTTCTGATAAACCTCCACAGTCAGCAAAAATGTCAACAGTCTCACAGATCAGCTTTCCTTTTTTTTTTCTTTTCCAAAGCACTTGTTGTCTTTAGCAACTGCTCCAGACACGGAACACACATTAAGGAACTATCAAAATTATTAGTCAATGAATCAGAACAACAACTTTAGTACAGTAACTTTAGTACAGTACAACTAACCTGCTTGAGAGCTCCACTGGCAGCATGGTCATATATAAGTTCACAAAAAAAATACATGTTCAAACATCACTGGAAGGTCTGAACTTGCAAGATCATGCTGGATTGAGTTTTTTAATCCAGCCCATTCAGGATGGTGACAATACTTGGAAAACTGCATAGGGCTTTAGGCTCACATCTTGGCCAGCCTTGACTGTTGCTAATCACCCTTGCTATCAACCTTCTCCGAGCCCTTTTCTTGTTGGCTTGCTGCCATAGCACAACATCGAGGGATCCTCATGTAAAAAAAAAGAATTGTAGCTACCACAAAACTTTCTGTGTGCACAATAACTCTTGTTAGTGGAGATATCTTCAGTATGTGTGCAATGTGCAACTCATGGGAATAAGAATGTTTGCCTCTGCTTTTTAGATGCACAAGATCTTGTATTGTATAAACAAATGATTATCTCCTGCATGATGTTTTTCTCTCAAATTTCTCTTACAAACTGCTATCCGGTAGCTTCACCTTTGGGGATAGGAACACACTCTTAACTTCAAGATCATATTCAGTAGCAAAAGAATCACATCTACCAAGGTAGTGTTTAGATGACGAAAAATTTTGCAAAATGTTACTGTAGCACTGTTCGTTGTTATTTGACAATTAGTGTCCAATCATGTACTAATTAGGCTTAAAAGATTCGTCTCGTGAATTTCGTCTAAACTGTGTAATTAGTTTTATTTTTTATCTATATTTAATGCTTCATGCATGTGTCCAAAAATTCGATGTGATGGGGAATCTTGAAAAATTTTGCAAAATTTTCTGGAACTAAACTGGACCCAACTCTTTTTCACTGCTCCACTATTTGCTTCGATGTATATAACATCACCTAATGCCACCTATATCCATATGCAGACAATGTGAGTAACCTAAAGCAATAAATGCAGATAGCAGAATAGGTACAGTAACCCAGAAAGCAAATATAGTGCATGAACTCTTATTCTGTAGACATTTACTTGAATGAGAAATCGCATTCTTATTATGTAGACATTGATTTGACTGAGAAATCGCATTGAATGAGAAATCGCATTCTTATTATGTAGACATTGACTTGACTAAGAAATCGCACTTATTATGTGATATGTAGACATTGACTTGAATGAGAAATTGGGCTGTTTCAGCTATGGCCCTGATCAAAATCCCTCAACTTATTTATTTTAGTTCACTAATCAGTAAACCGTTCGTAATAAATTGGGACCAAAGCGAACACATTTCTCAATCCAAACATCCGAACCAAAATCATAAATAAATTTAAGGCAAACACAAGGTCACAGAACTGTACCACTGTTGTGTTGTGGCGAGGGAGTAGTTTCCACCCGTGGGTACCATCGTGCCCGCGCACTCTTGCCTGCTCGTCGACGGGGACCCTCGTCGTGCTTTCGCCGGATCTGGCTCGGCTCGGTCGTGGCCGGCTGGCCGCCGCCGGAGCCGACTAGGAGAAGCAGAGGAGGTGGTTCAGATCGAGTCCGCACGAGACGCCATATTCCAACACCCAACGGCAGCACGCACTCGCTGCCCCCTGCCCTCCACGCCAGCCGCGCTGCTTGCACGAGAGAGACAATCTGAAGGAAGAGTGAAGGGAGAGCCACTGCTCGCTCCATCCTCCCACACTGTGACAGTCAGAGAGGGCCAGCGTGACGAGGAAGCGGGGAGGTGGGAGCGAGAGAGCCAGGAGGCGGAGAATCTGAGGAAGGGGATTGGATTACGGACAGGAGAGAGCCAAGGGAGAGTTGTTAGGCGGATAAGGATGGGGCCGAGTCCGTGGAGTCTTTTATGTTTGTCTTATTACTTTTCACCTTTTTTCTTTTATTATTATTATATACACATATATATTATATGTTACAGTGCACTTGTATAAATAAGTAGTGAAGTATATATATATCAGTGCCTGGACTGATGATATAAATGGTGGTATGCAGTCGAAGTGAGATTACCCCACATGGTGTTTTTACCATTGAAAACCTTGGACACCTGCCAATAGCAATACTGATGAATTGTTGAATTTACCATGGCAAATTTGTTACATCTGTTCATCGATACAAATTGTTGCTTTTCTTTGTCATGGGTAGGGCTTTTTTTAGCAATTGTCATGGGTAGGGCTGTGCAGTGCAAATATGATGCAAGTAAGCTTCGTCGATGTTTTTTAAAATCAACATCTGGTGACAAATGTATCCAGAAAATTGCTCAGATACTGTACATACGACTATGTTAATTTTCACTTTATCTGTCAAATATTTTGAAAAAGGAGAATTTGTGAACTGTCAATTGAATATACGAGAACAAGAGTGAGCCGGCAGACAATTCAATTACATTTTTCACATGATGGATGTTCTGTGTTACAAAAGCTCCTGAAATACAGCATTGTATCCTATCTCTCACCACCCACAAATTTGGAATCTCACACATACACAAAAAATAATTGACTTCTTCTGTTCTACCTCACCAAGATTAAAAAAAAATTAATACGAACTTCCCATGAACTTTTCAGCTATTTCACAGAAATCGTACTATCCCGTAGAAATACTATGGAGTCCCCACGTTCCAAATGGGGCCTGTGTGATAAGAACTGGGTATGGGTATGGGATAAAATGAGCTCATATCCCACCAATCCATACCCAATGGGAGGGGTGGGTTATGGCCGGAAATAATCGACGGAGAGCCGTACCTGACTGTCGTTGCCATCGATGGGGAGGAGGGCGTCGAGAACGGGCTCGCCAGTGCCGCCGTCCTCACCGGAGCTGTAGCCGCCCACAGCGCAGGAGCCCCAGCCACCCTTGCCGCCGGCGCTGCGGGAGCCCTAGCCGCCCTCGCTGGCTCGCCGCCGGCAGACGCCATGGTCCTGCGTCAGCTGCTGCTCCCTCCCGCGCAGACGCCATGGTCCAGCAGTAGCTGCTGCTCCCTCCCACGGACGCCATGGGAGTTGGGCTGCTGCAACACAGGTTGCTCCCTCCATCCGCGCAAGTGGCTGTAGCTGCGCTTGTATTTGGATAAGCTCTGGGCCAGTGCCCAAAAGCAAACGAAGAACAGGTATATGACATGGGCCCCATTTTTAACCCAATAGCCAAACAAAGGACTAGGTTTGAGGTCTTTATTTCCCATCCATAACCCACATCTCCTAAACCCAGCTCATATCAATTTCCCTAACCCGATCACCGTCCAAACGCCACGTAATGCCTTGTTTAGATACACGTGTATTCGTCTTAATCCATATGTGTTGAAGTGAATTAGAGTGTAATTAAACTAAATTACATTCCATTCCACTCCAACACATATGGGTTGAGCTGGACACACATGCATTCAAACAAGACATAAGAGAGAAGGAAAAGAGTCATTTTTTGTTTGTTTTTCTTTTCCCTATTTTTACACACATATACTATACGTATATAATTATATGTTTATGTATATATATGTGTTTAGCAGCATATAAATTTATTCATGTGCAAATACAAAATACATCATAATTTAGGTTAGATTAAATCAGCTAAATAATTATTGCTATTTCTGTTTGTGAGCCTGTGACGCCATACTCTCCGTGACCGTGTTGATTTCACAAACTTTGTTTTTTAATTAAATATCACTTTACTGTTGGTATTTAATTTTTACAATATTATTATCTTATCGTGCGATCCGTGTGTTTCAAATATAAATTGTTAGCTATCCCGTAGCAACGCACGAGCATGCTACCTAGTCTAACAAATAAATCAAGAATATTGTGTAAAAGACCATCGATAAAATGGGTAAGGGATGAAAAGATAAACTTCCTAATGCACTTTGGGCTTACCGAACTGCATACAAAACACCCATTGGCATGTCACCTTATCAGCTTGTCTATGAAAAAATATATCATTTGCCTGTTGAGTTGGAGTTTAGGGCTCATTGGGCAATCAAGAAATGAAACATGGATCTTCACCTAGCTGGCAAGAATCGTCAAATACAATTATCTAAGCATGAAGATTGGAGAGAAAAGGCTTATCACAACTCT